TTATTGTATTTTATGCAGTGTGAACAGTGGCTAGCGCCAAGTTGTACTTGGTCTAGTAAGTCCTTTTTTCAGCACTTCTAAAAGGTTCTGCTATAGAGAGAGATAAAACTGATGTCCCTAATCCATGAATTTCAAGGAAAAATGGAAATGCTAAAGGAGAGAATGCTATAAGCCATATTTCTGTGGCAAAACTGTATTTGCTGTGCTTATCTATTGAGTAGTCCCACTGGGATCAGGTAATAAAGCTAGGTGCATTTGACAAAGAGTTTGTAGCCCTAGTGCCATAGAGCAAAAGCTGTTACATTCGGAGTCACCTGTAATTTAAAAGAAAAATCCAAAATATTACCAGCAAATAGTGGAATCTCAATTATCATTGAAGAGAAACTGCTGGTGAGAGATGACAGTTTAGTCCTTTCAGCATTTTAATTTGAGTTTCTAGAATCTCATTTCTATTTCTCTTTACTATTTAATCAAGAATGTTATGCTGCTGTATATTTAGCTGTCATCTGTGCTGAGCTTAGATAGCTGCAGGAACTTTGGGTCAGCAGATCAATGTGCAAATGGTGAAAAATGATGTCTGGGAAGTCAGGGCTTCTGTCAGGTTACAAGGCAGTCATTCCCCGTCCACAAAAATGCTGCAACTGTGGCCTAATTCCTTGTTCCTCCAATTGAACTGTAAGTGAGCAAGTTACGGAATGAGGCAGACTTCATAATGTCTGTAACGACTACCTGCATTTTGATTTTAAGCTTTTAAAGTACTTTGTAAAATACAGAAGAGAACTGAGGCATTCTTAATGTATCTCTTTCAGTCGGTTACCAAGGAAACAAGGTTCAATTTTATACTGTACCACAGGAATTGTCCTACAGTGGCTCCAGTCAGATAAGTAAGTTTTCCTATTTAATAAGAAACTGAATACAATTATGAAATGACTTGACTACTGAGCTGTTTCTAACAGTCTCGGCTCTGTATTCTTTTTTAATTTAGCTAAAAACAAATGTTTAACTTCCTGCTTTTCTATTTTAGGCACTTGTCCAGCATTAGTCATGTAGTCCTTGATGAAATTCATGAAAGAAATCTTCAGTCAGATGTTTTAATGAGCATTATTAAAGATCTTTTGAATATTCGTTTGGATCTGAAAGTAATACTAATGAGTGCTACTTTAAATGCAGAGAAGTTTTCAGAGTATTTTGGTAGGTGAAATCCTTCCTATGACTGTTCCTTTTAAGTAATTTAGGCTTCTACAGTGTAATGCAGTTCTCACATTTTAGGATTGATTTTTATCAAAAGAGGTAATTGCCTCAATTTTACAAATAGTTGCCAGCTGCTGGAGATGCTTATTCCCTTAGTTTTATCTCATCATGAGCTTATGTTGCTTCTGCATTTGCTTTTCAGACATGTTGTGGAAACAGTATCTCCAGAGTGGTTTTGTATTAAATATTTACTAATATTTACCATACTTTAGAAGTCTTGGTGTGAGTGGGCGACCAGATTGAAGCCTTTAGTTGTTCAGTCTTCCAGCTTTATCCTGTAGCTAGAACCAGATGAACATGCTGGAGAACAATATACTGATTGCTAACTATGGGTTTTTTCCAGCAGCTTTATTTGGAATTGAATTTGGTGTCTTCCTTGAGAATTTAAAAATAAACAAACAGAAAAACCCTATAGACTTGGCAACTATATTGCAAAAATAGCGAAGAATGTTTATTGCCTCTATTATTTCAGTACAGTATTTCATTTGCTGTTTAAAACTGAGTTATGCCTTCCTCGACAGATAATTGTCCAATGATTCACATACCTGGGTTCACTTTCCCTGTGGTGGAGTATCTTCTCGAAGATGTAATTGAGAAATTGAGGTAAGTGCATTTTCTGAACACCATTATAGACAGTATTTTGGGGTTTTTTGCTTAGTATGTCTTTCCAAAGATTATCTTGATGTAAATAACCTGTGGAAGAATTAGCCGTGTTTCTTAGCAGAAAACCTTTCAAGGGAAGTTTAGTAGCTTTCATGGTAATTAAAAATGGCACATAGCTACCTAGAAATGTGGGCTTGAGGAGGAAAAAAAAACCTAGTCTTTTTTTCAGTGTGGTGAATTTTCAGGCTACTACATCAAGGTAGTCTTTCTGTTTGTTCAGCCTTTTTTTTTCTACATGTTCTCATGCTTACTAGAGATGGTACCTGTTTTTATAAGTAAGATTTCTTTCAGAAAAGAAATGTTAAGAATTTTATTTACATGGTATAGGTAAAGCGCAGCATATTGTCCATAGTTTGGAAAACTATGCAGCTGGCTTTAAATTACTTCAGTTTCAAAATCTAATTATGGTTGTTATTTAAATTTAAAGGTATACTCCAGAAAACACAGACCGTCGGCCACGGTGGAAGAAGGGCTTCATGCAAGGACATGTAAGCAGACCAGAAAAGGAAGAAAAAGAGGAAATCTACAGGGAACGATGGCCAGACTACTTAAGGCAGCTGCGGGGCAGGTTGTTCTCAAGTTACTCTTTTGCATTAAGTTTTTAGATGCTTCTTAACTGAGAAACTTAAGTTAGTGTGGTATTCTGTTACTGTGCTTTTATTAATGATGTGATAGTGGCTACTGTGGAAAACAATAGTAATGGAATTGCCAGTACAGTTGGCTGGCAACCATTGAAGTGCTTTAGAGTTATCACAGAGAATTCGCTTCCTTTGCAAACTGTAAGAGAACTTACAGCTGTCGAGTCGCTTGCTATTGATGTTGGTGTCGTCCATTACAGTCTTCAGCATAATGTTAGGCTTCTCGAGCTTTGGTCATTAGTTCTCTTCTGATTAATTCTTCCCTTCTTCAGTCTTTTTCTTTGAGAGAGATCTCTCAGTATTTTAGTCTCATAATCAACGTAATACAAAATGTGCTGGTTTAAAAACCAAACAACACCCAACTTCCCCCCACCCCAAAAAACCCCAAACAAACCCAATAAAACAAAAAAACCCACCACAGCCTTTTTCTCAGAATATTTTAATATCCCTCTAGAGTGGTTTAAAACCAAGCTAAATAATTTTAGCTCTCGAGCACCTAGTAGAGGTTGTCCACTTGAAGCATTCTTCTGGTTGCCAGCATTTGAATACCTTGGTAAACTGGATAAGTTGATTAATTGGATAGCCTGGGTGATTTATTTCAGGAACAGCATCTTTCTGGTTGTTTTTTCTCCTGTCTTACTTGTCCTCTGTGTTTTGGGACTGTCTATGTATCCAGCTTGGTAACAATAATGAATGTAGGTGGCTCAGTTTTATCTCCTTTTTCCAAGGGAAAAGCCCTCAATGCTGTGTCTCTGTCTGGCCTATCCTGTGCTCTGCTCATCCCATTTGTACTCCTCCTTCCCTTTCCCACCGGGTCTTTTGAACCAATTGGCAATTTTTTTCCATAGTGTTAGCTTTCATGAAATCCAAGGGCTGAACAGATGAGATGCCTCCTGTAGTCACTGTGAGTGAGAGAGAAATTGAAGGGTAAACTCAGAGTGTTTAGGTCCTAGGTAAGCGATGAGGAGGAGAGAGATCATGTAAGTGCTTCAAATGCAGTTCAGTCATAACATGGTAATTCTTAAACTTACCGCTCTAAACTGGCGATAATCACACTGAACTGCATCTCGAGTACATTGGGGGTACAGTAATTGAACAGACAAAGAAATCGAACAGTAGTGGGTTACACAGATGTGTGATTGCAGAGCCTTATAACAGAAAGATGAGTGCCTGGCTCTGTATGTTAATGAGTTACCGATATATATGCTTTCAATGCCTGTAGGTATTCAGCAAGTACTATAGATGCCTTGGAAATGATGGATGATGACAAGGTTGACCTTGACCTTATAGCAGCACTTATCAGACACATCGTTTTGGAAGAAGAGGTACGCTTCTGTCTCCTATAATCACATTTTAATGATGTGACTGAATTGTTGTCAGTGGCTGTTGGGAATGTCAGAGCTGATAGTTTGGCTTATCATACAGATACGAAGAAGAATAATCATTTTTTGGTTTGCTCTTCTGAGAAATAATCTAACAGTTTTAGATATCTCGTTACTGTTTAAGCCCTGAATTTAGAATGTGGTTAGTTACAGTGTTTATTGAAATGATGGGATAGAATCCATGTTTAAATGGGAGCACACATCTAAGCATTTTCTTGAATAGGGGTTGTGGGTATTAACGAGAGCTATGTACCTAAGAAACTCAGAAAACTTGCAAATACATTTGATATGCTCATTTACGGTCCCTTCTGAGCAAGGGATAAAAAAAGAGCCTGAATCCTTTCACTGACACTAGGGATTGTCTCATAAATAAAACGGGATAGATATCTGGAGGTTTGGGTGCTGTTTTGGTTCAGATTGCTGCATTTTTTTCTTTTGGGTAAGCTTTTAAATAAGCCTTCAAATTTAAAATTATACAACTTAGTTACTTGATGGAAAGACAGACAATTACAAATTAAATTTTAACTTTTAGTTCTTTCTGTGACTCTGTGTGTGTTTGTCAAAGGTAGTACTCTTCATAGTCTGTAGTAAAAGTCATGTTTTGTGAAAGAGCTGTAGAAAACTGTCTGAAAACCTCTTTAGTGTACAACTAAATCTCCATTCTTAATTCCTCAGCAATGGGAGGGAGAGGGCAAGAGCCATGTTCACTGCCTCATGTCTGCACTGTGCAGTTGGCTTTCATGGTTTTTCCACCTGAGTAATCTAAATATGACTTAGGTGCTGTGAAGACTTGAATTTTTATAGAGCCTAGCAAAAGTCTAGTCACGTTTACCAAACACACGGCTAGGAGACTCCCCCAACTTCCAGCTTGTCAAGCTGAGTAGTCAATACAGCTGCATTAGTAGTTATCCCAAAATGTGCCTTACCTTGTTATTGAGTAATAACTTCATCAGAATATTAATATCAGAAGGATCCTGTGCCTGAAGCAGTGACAAACGTGAAGAATAACTTCTGTTACTATAGGTATAATGTATGTAGATTGTCATAACCTGAAGTTATATATTTGTTTCTGTGTTCAAAACCATCTGTGGATGAGCTTACACCTTGGCTGATTCCTTAAAGAGAATTTTGATTATTTAAAATATTAAATAATTTAGTATTTCAGTTGATGGATCATTAAGCTGCGGTTAATGAGGATGAGTTGCTGTTTCATATTTTGTTCTTCCTGTGTTGAAAATTATGCATTAGTTTCTCTCTGTTTTGTTTGCAGCTCAGATTCTTCTAGTGTTGACATGGCGGTGTTTAAAACACTGCAGGGGAAAAATGTTTAGAAATCAATTTTTATTTATTATGTTCAGATAAATATATGTAGCTAACTCTTTTACAGAAAACAATCTTATAAACTTTGTTCCAAATTTGAGTCAATGAGGTTTGCAAATATCACCCATCCAACATACATGTATCGGCGTGCACGTAGCTGGTTCTTTGCATAGCATATAATTTATTCTAACCTCTTTTCCCTTCACTCCCTCTTTTATATATAGGATGGTGCAATTCTAGTGTTTCTTCCAGGCTGGGACAACATTAGCACTTTGCATGATCTCTTGATGTCGCAAGTCATGTTTAAGTCAGGTAAAAACAGAATTTTAAATGGGAATTCTAGCAGTAGCGTTAGTGGCAAACTCTTAATTTTTGCATGTGATTGCTGGTATTGCACTAGATGTGGGTTTTTTTTCCTCTCCTCTCAAAACGATTGCGGTGTGTTAGGCGTTTTTTGCATTTCTGTGGTATTTTCTGTGGTATCTTTCATCTCCTAATGATAGTAACTCGTTTTCCTCAGTGTAGGAGTGAACAATCTGAAAAAGAATCTGACCTGCATCTTTTTCCTTTTGTCCTTTCTTGTAGCTATGATAACTTCCATCCAAAACTAAATTCTCTTTTTTTCATTCTGTGTTCATTTCCTCTTTTCTTGATTCTTCAGCAGCTTCTGTCTACTGCTTTGCTGATAGTTCTTTTAAATCCTATTTATTCCCAGAAGCCTTTTTTAATAGAACACTAAAATACCCTCTGCCTGTCTGATACACTTCAGTTTGTCCTGTTTGCATAACTCATATTTTCATCTAACTTGTCTAACTATGCTCTGGGCTACTCAGATAGTTGTCTGACAGTTCATGCTGTGTACACTCCATAGATAAAGAATTTCAATTTATTGAAAGATTGAGGAGAGTGTCAGTTTATTAAACTTGAGCAATTATTAAATAATTTGAGAATTTAAAAATGACATATATATTACTGTACATTACTTCATATAATTTCTTAAACTTGTCAAGTCCTCATAGCATAATTAAAAAAAATCCTTTATACCTTTCTACTTTAGAATTTGCCATTATGATACATAAACCTGTGAATGCAGAATAAGGAACAGTAGACTGACTTGCAGCATATTCTCTCTATTCTGAATAGCTGATTTTCCTGTAAAATTAAAGTTTCTGTGCTTACACCATATCTTTTACTGATTTTTAATTTTCAGATAGGTTTATTATCATACCTTTACATTCATTGATGCCTACTGTTAACCAGACTCAGGTATGCTTTTCTTTTATTGTAATATTTTGTAACTACAAAAAAAATTAATTAAGCATATGTTTGGTTTTGGCAAACATATAAATGGGCCATGGATAATTACAGGTTTTTAAGAAGACCCCGCCAGGAGTAAGGAAAATCGTGATTGCTACCAACATTGCAGAGACTAGGTAAATAGCTAGCTGTACAGACCAAAAAAAGCTATGCATTTAACAAAATTTTAAAAAGGCAGTAATCTAAAGTACAAATCTGTTTAATTTTTCTAAAATCTATGTTTTTGTATTTGTACGACTCATTTATAACACTATCTTTAGAAATGTTTATAGACTAAACAGGAGTTTTCCTTTAATTGTTTTAAACAATGAAAATGTGGATGTTACTATAAAGACTCGCCTTTTGTTGTATATGATAAATCTGAACCGCCTGTCCTCTCTGCATACTTCATAACCCCATGCGGTGACTTTTGCCAGACCTAGGAGAATAAATCAAGCTGTTTCTTGAACCGCTTAGTAATGTAAATCTTAATGAAATTCCAAACACAATTTTTTTATTGTTGGCTCACAGTTCGGGAGGGGGTAAAGAGAGGCTAAACCCCTTTCAAATCCTAGGTCAAGCTTGCAATGAAGAGTTGCGGTTTTTTCCTCTCTTTTTTAAACAGCATTACAATAGATGACGTCGTGTTCGTTATAGATGGTGGAAAAATAAAGGAAACTCACTTTGACACACAGAACAACATCAGCACAATGGCAGCGGAGTGGGTTAGTAAAGCTAATGCCAAGCAGAGGAAAGGTCGAGCAGGAAGGTAAGAATAATGGGGATAGCTAAAGTTTGTGATGTTAAGTTTCCATCAGTCTTGGCGCACGTGCATGCTGAAGATACTACTTTGTTACTCACATGTTCGGAAGCAGATGCTAACACAGCTGTCTCTTGTTCTTATGGAAAGAATGGTTTCTCTCTTCCTAGGAAACTGGCTTGTGCGGCATTTAACTCATGAGTTTCCCTGCTTAAAGAAGAATAAATCCCTCATTTTTTAAAAATTTTGTTGGTAGTGTTTGCCTTCACACCGGACTTATGAGGCTATGATAAATTAAAGTGAAAGTTGCCTACAAACTACTATCACTTAGCTACATACCAATTTTTTTTTTTTTTTTTTTAATTTTTCTCCTTCTCAAAATACCTTGTGGAATATTTTCTCTCTGTTCAGACTTACAGTGCTCTGGTCTCTTCACTGCTTCTTTTGAAAAGTTGATAGGAGGGTTCTGTGTTCTGTTGTGCCTTTTTTCCTGTTGATGGGTCTGTGTTTCAGAAAGCTGAAATGGCTTTTGCAGTTGAATGCGCTTTAGTTCTAATTCCTTGAGGTGTTTTGGAAGGCTGTTTACAAACACACACAATCATAATGTCACAGTGTTGTAGGGGAAAAAAAAACCCCAAACAATTGTTTATTTAAATAATTCCAGAGTTCAGCCAGGCCACTGTTACCATCTATACAATGGATTACGTGCCAGCCTTCTAGATGATTATCAGTTACCAGAGATCTTGAGGACACCTTTGGAAGAACTCTGTTTACAAATCAAGGTAAACATACGAATCTTCAAACATATTCATTATTTACTTTTTCATTGGAATAAGAGGTTGAGAGATGAACTTAATGCAACTGAGCCTATGGTTTTCTTCAAGTCAAAACTCGGTTACACCAGAAGCACAATATATTTAGCTAATAATTGCAGTAACTTTTGCAAAATGCATATTTGTATCTAGATGCATCAAAGCCAGGAAAAATAGGATTGTCTAGTGTAAATACAAGCTGAAGTCTATTAACAGAAGTTTGGGCTGTGCTTCCCCGCCTCTCCCCCCAAATATCATTCAATCAGAGGAGCTTCAGTGAGAATGCCAGTGAGTCAAGGGATAGGATGTCTTAAAAGAATTTTACTAAAAAGTAGTTTTAGAACTGATGGGAGTTTCCTTTTTGGCAGTTTGCATTGAATTCCTTATGCAAGTGTGAGGAACACCATGTGTATGCATGCTGAATGAAGAATAGATCCTTATGTTTCAAATTTCATCATTAATACATTTTAATTTTTGTCCTTAGTTCTTAATTAGTGAATTTCTAACTCAAGCTGTGAATTACACTTTTGTAAATTAGTGTGCTCACTGCTTACTAATTTTAGGTAGCCACCTTTCTCCAGTTGCTGTAGGGTTTCTTTTTTTTTTTTTTTCTTTCAGATTCTAAAGCTTGGTGGAATCGCTTATTTTCTGAGCAAACTAATGGATCCACCGTCTCGTGATGCTGTAATGTTGGCCATAAATCATCTAATGGAGCTGGTAAAGTGTTGCTTAATTGTATATGCAAGGAAAATTCTGTTTAGAACTGTGTTACTGTGGTGTTTGTTATCAGACAGTCCTGATTCTACCGGTGTGGACATTTGCAACCCCTTGCCGTATTGTGTAGACCCTTTCTATATCTTCACTGAACAGAGGAAATAATTTCCCATGATACATGACGTTTATGGGCTGCATAGCGTAGTTCCTGAGGAACTTTCTAAATGACTCAAAACATATACATGCACCGTGCATTTAAGTTCCCTACAGATATTTATTTAACTCACTGCTTCTGTACCACCCTGCTCATGGCTGCATCGACCAAGCCTTCCTACCCCAGTCAGATTAGTGAAGAGTTTTGAGATATTTGCCCACAGAAAAAAGTAAGGTATATAGGAGAAAGATCTTGTACGTCATTGCCCCTTTGGATGCTGGGGAAGGAGAGATTAATGACATGTTTGTGCTACTGACTTGTGCCCTGGTATTATTTGTACAAATCAGTCGCAGCAATAAATTGAAATGTCTGATTTAGATGAAGGGCAGTATTTAGACTGATGGCATGAGTCTGTAAATGTTTAGATAAAATTCAGCCCTACAGTTGGTGTTCTGTGACAATGCTGTATAGTAGCAAAGGGTAAATAAAAACAGAAGTGGTATTGAGGGTAAGATACGAGTCTAAAAATAAGCTTGATCAGAATAAATAGGAAGACACACCCAAGCATTAATAATTCTTCATACTTTCATCCAGAAGGACACTGAGCCCTAGTAAACCACTTGAAACAATTGAAGATGGTTGCTGTTTTCTTGGATCTAATTGAACACTTCAATTTCTCCCTAACTTGCTTGATCACTTTCCTCCCATTCCTTCTGACAGCCAGCTGCATTCTCCAGCTGTTAGGCTTTCCTTTGTTCTCTAGGGATACTAGTGGCTATTTCAAGGAAATCCTCCCCATTTCACATGCTGTGTTTGTTCTTTTTTCTTTGTTTTTTTTCTTCTGACAGAATGCTTTGGACAGACAAGAAGAACTGACTCCACTAGGTGTCCATTTAGCACGATTACCAGTTGAACCGCATATTGGAAAAATGATCCTCTTTGGAGCTTTATTCTGCTGCTTGGATCCAGTACTAACAATTGCAGCTAGCCTCAGCTTCAAAGACCCCTTTGTCATTCCTCTGGTAAAGTTTCTAAGAGGAGAATTACACATAAGATTTTAGGAATCTCAGAAGGATATTGGGACTTCTTGAGATGCTGTAGTTTAAAAGCGCTTTAATCTTATTTTCACGTTAATTACATTTTTATTAGTAAAAGATTGCCTTCATGTACTATGAAGTATTATCTTTGCCTACAGAATGTTGGAAGTAGCTTTAATTTTCATGTATGTAGCATAGGAAGTATTGCTGTATATATGTACCTTAATTAGGAAAAGAGAACTGGCATGTCAGTCAGGTTAATGGTTGGACTGGATGATCTTAAAGGTCTTTTCCAACCTAAATGGTTCTGTGATTCTATGAATATTTTATACGTTCTAATTATTCTTAGGGCAAAGAGAAAGTAGCAGATGCAAGAAGAAAGGAACTGTCAAAGAACACTAAAAGTGATCATCTGACTGTGGTGAATGCTTTCACGGTAGGCACATTTTAATGGTTTGTTTGGGGTTTGGTTTTTTTTTTTCTTCTAGAATTTTGAGTAATATGGATTATTCTAAGGAAAACACTGGTCGGTTTATGCTCTGAAGTATTCCTTTCTTGGCTTCTACAGAAACATAAAACCAAATTAATTTTCACCCTTCTAGTGTTGAGGAATCTTATCTCAATCTCAGTAGCCTAATTTCTCGTGGATAGGTCTATGAAAGAGACAAAGAAAACATAAGGTTATAGTTACCTTGCTGAAGTCAGTAATTCTTGTCCTTCCGGCCTCTCCAAGAGGCTGAAGCTGACTTCAGAAATCTTGGAGATTTAGTGGTATATGTGTTGGGGCGAGAAGAGGAGGAAATAAGTGGCCTGGAATGCAGTTTCTGCCCAGGACTGTTAATAGTGACAAATGAAATTCTGACAAACTTAGCTAGATTTCACTCCTCACCATGGAAAAATGAAGTTTTTGATTCGAAATGTTGTAAAGTTGTGGTTTTTCTAGTCTGTGCTGCATAAACAAAGAAATCAAAGGATTTACTTTCTCTCTTGTAGAAAAAAATGTAAATATATTGTTTGTTGACCTCCAGTTTTTGCTGTTCTTAATTTTTTAGTATGTGTTCACTTACAAACGCCTTTGAACTACGGTTTTAATTTTTAGGGCTGGGAAGAGACTCGGCGTCGTGGTTTCAAAACTGAGAAGGACTATTGCTGGGAATATTTCCTTTCTTCAAATACACTGCAGGTAACATCCTCGCAGTTTAAAAAAGAGGATTGTGTCTGTGGGGAAAAGGGGAGGAGCCTTTTGGCACAGCATCATTCTGGGACAATTTTTGTTGTTTCCTAGATGCTGCATAACATGAAAGGACAGTTTGCTGAGCATCTACTTGCAGCTGGATTTGTGAATAGCAGAGACCCCAAGGATCCCAAATCTAATACTAACTCGGGTAAACAGTGGAAGGAAATGGAAAATTTCTGATAGCTGAAATCTCAGTTCGCAGAACTGTGTTATTTACTTTGCTGTCTTCTACAGATAATGAGAAGTTGCTCAAAGCAGTCATCTGTGCTGGTTTATATCCAAAAGTTGCAAAGATCCGGCCAAGCTTCAGCAAAAAGAGAAAAATGTAAGGGTTCGGTTTAATGTTGGCTTGTATTTGAGGTGTTTTCTACATTAAGGTAGTTTGGCAAGGTGGAGCAATGGGCTTGAGTGCATGAATGAATCTCTGTATAGCTCAGTCGTGGGCGTGGGTTACTTCGTCTGAGAAGGGTAGATGAGTGCATGGGATTGTTGATCTTCACTTTGTTTAACATTTGGATACTTGCTAGTCTGTGAAATAATTTGTGTGACCTTATCATGCCATGGGTAATGTTACAATATATCAATAACACCGCTGCTGAAGGAGTCCTACCATCATCTTCCATCTACAGCAGCAGTTGAAACACTATCCTTTCTTATTATTTGGCAACATAGAGCCCAGAAATTCTGGTCTGTTGATTTACCACTACTTACCTTATCAGACTATTTATTCTTATTAACTGTTACAGTAACAGTGTACTCATCAGAATATAGATGTCCTTCTTTATGGACCTCATTTAAAACACCTCATTTAAAACAGAATGAAAGGTTGAACATTTGGATCGATTTTTCTGGGTGTGTAATGTCGAAACAGCAAGCTAGGAGCCATCATTATGCCTATAATTAAAAAAAAAAAAAAAAAACAAGGCAAGCAAAAAAACCCCCAAGTGATTGCTTCTATGAAAGGAGCAAGAATAGGAAGTCAAAATTCTACCTTAGATTGCATAATTTAGACCTGTCTATAGCTGACACTGCGAGGCAGTTGATACTCCCTTTTAAACTGAGTCCAGTGTGCTGGAGTCACCTAAATGCAGCAAGTTTGCAAACCTGCAAGTTACTGTGCAGCTGGATCTTTGCCGCGTGGTGGAGCTAGGTGTAAGCCAGCTGCCCAGGCAGGTTCATTTCATGATCCCCTAAACCAGCTTTGTTACACTCACCGCTTTGCTGGAGAAGCTCTCCCACCCACTGTTTCAAAACACTGAACTCAAAGTATTTTGCAAAATACTTCCGCACGTATATACAAAATACACAGGGAGTAGAGAGCTCAGTGATCTGCACCCAAAGAATTACACCTCTGAAATGTGGGAAGGAGGAGAACAGTTGTGCTTCATACATGTGGTGCTTGGTTTCTGCTTTTTTTTATTGTCTGACGGCGTTATTGTGTTAAAGGGAAACGTGATTTCGGGTAGTAAGTATAACCAGAGCAGTTGACTGTTAATCCCTTGAGACAAATTTGTTCAAAGGCACACGGTACAAATAGAGGTACACCACTCCAGGCTGGTTGGCAGCGGGTATAGCTGGTCCCTTGTTTCACGCTGCTTAACGCTGAGCAGAGAATTCAGATACCTAAGTTCCTTAGGTGGTTTTTCCAATAAATTGCTTGAAACTTGGTTTGTGTAACCAAATGCAGTAACTCATGGAGTCCTTCATTTGCAAAAAGAATGCCACTTGTTTTTTCTACTTGAGAGAATGACAGGGTTTATTAAGGGGGTAGATTTGGTAAAGAATTCAAACCTCTCAAATGCAGAGGGATGTCTAAAAATTCATACTGTAGATTCAGTTGTAATCTTTTGGGAAAGGAGTTAAAGTTTCTTGGAATGTCTTTGTACTTTCAGAGTGTAAAACACTAGTGGATAATTGGAGGGTTTTGTAACTTGGGACACAGTTGTGCTCTTATTTCAGTCCTAAAATAAAAACTTCTTTTTCTTTTAAGGGTGAAAGTTTGCACCAAGACAGATGGGACGGTTAATATTCATCCTAAATCGGTTAATGTGGAAGAAACAGAGTTCCATTATAACTGGCTTGTGTACCATTTGAAGATGAGAACTAGCAGTGTATGTGAAGGGTTTATATTGTGGAATTTATTTTTGTAGCCCTTTAATAAGGTTGGATCAAGGTTCAAAGGGGACGTGAGCAGTGCCTTTGTTTGAAGCCTTCCTGTCTTGGGTCACTCCTTTTACATGCCATCAGATGATGATCTTTGTGGTACTGGTAGTATTGTTCCACAAATAACTAATGACTGTTTGGGTGGGGTTTTTTAATGGTTGGGGTTTTTTTTCAGAGGGGTTGAGTCTTTTAAGGTTCTGGCAATAACAGGTATAAATTCCACCCCCACCCCCTCCAATCCAGTGTAACACTTCTGAATATGCTGAATTTTTTTTTTCCTCTGATTGTTATGGAGTAGTTGGTTTGATTTCACCACTTTGTGTGAAGGACTGTATTTGGGACCATTTTTGCTCCTGTTCAGTCTGATTTCATGTAACTTTCTTGACTAAGTTGCTTCATATATGTCTTGCAAATTTATGAATGAATGAGTAATGATATTCTGGAGTTCTGAGTTTCACTGAGGGTTACCGATGTCGCTTCAATGTCTTGAAGGGTGATTAGACAACTTTGTCTTCTTGCAGATTTACTTGTATGATTGTACAGAGGTCTCTCCATACTGTCTCCTGTTCTTCGGAGGAGATATATCCATTCAGAAGGATAAAGATCAGGATACCATCGCTGTGGATGAATGGATTGTTTTCCAGTCTCCGGCAAGAATAGCACACTTAGTTAAGGTGACTGTTTAATAATAATGTATATGGAAGACTTAGTGTAACACTGATTCTTCTTAGAGATTTCTATGTTTGATGTTACTGTGTACCTACTGATTTATCGCTATAGGGAGATAATAATGTTTCAAGTGTATTCCCAGTAAGCAGTTCAAGTACACAAAGTGAACAAAGGAGATCTACTGAAGGTGTGTAGATGAACGCAGTAGTAAAAAGAACATTCTGCGCAGTCTGTATCACATGGTAAACTGGGCAGAAGTAAACAGTACTGTACTCCCTTAATGTTTGGCCTGAGGAGCAGGCACCCAGGTTTTTGTTGTTGCTGCTGTTTGTTTCCAGTGTCGTAGCGTGACTCCCGCGAATGAGGCCGAGGGCCTGTCGAGGCATCAGGAATAGGGCGGTGATGTTCTCGTTCAGCCGGTGCAGCCTCTGCTGAAAAATTCATGGGGATATTGAAAAACTGTAGAAGCTTCAGAGAAGAGCCACAGCGTGGATTTAAAGGATTTATAAACATGTCTTACAGCAAGAGATCTGAAGAGCTTAATCTCTGTAGTTTTCTGTAGCAAAAGCTGATTGATCAGTCCATGACATGTCCATGTGAATATGGAAACACGAGGATGGGGCTCTTCAGCTAGCAGTAATAAGTTCCAGTGGAAGGAGGAGGAGCTGAATAGAGCTCTGTTTAATATTAGATCCTAGAAATCATGTCTGACTTTTTTTAAACCCAAATATTTTTAATCCTGAAATAGTCAGCTAATGGATGTATAGGCTGTTAAAGGTCATCGCATCCAGAGATGGTCATCTGTCATAAAAGGTAGGACTAGTTTTTGAGAAGCAGCTTTTGATCCTGAAAATAGCAATGTTGAAATGAATTGATAGAGGAACAGCAGGTGGAAAGATTAGGAGAACAGAGGGCCTGAGGGATTTGAACTTACTGTAGTAATGTTGTTGTGTGTCGCTCTAATTGCCTCTTTTCTCCCTCTCCCCTTTCATTCCAACAACCTCCTTCCAGAATTTAAGACAAGAACTCGATGATCTTCTGCAAGAAAAAATAGAAAACCCACATCCCGTGGACTGGAATGATACTACATCGAGGGATACAGCAGTACTGACAGCTATTATAGACTTAATCACAACACAGGAGAATGAAAGTGCCAGAAACTATGCTCCACGATTCCAGAGTGAACGCTATAGTTGACACACTTTCATCTGTATCGATAAAGCCAACATATTCACCTTTTTGTTTTGGTTTTTTTAATAGCATTTATTTAGCTAGACGAAAAACTTTTTTAGGGTAATCTGGTAATTCCCTCATACTGAAGAGCAGTTATTTCAAAATAGTTGGCAATATCTGTATATGCATGGTATTCTGTGTTCAGTGTAGCTTTTTAAATAAGAGAAAATGCAATGCTAGCAATGTTAGTTGATGTATGGTTCTTGTCCTGCTGTAGGGTTTTTTGTTTGGTTGGGGTTTTTTAACCCATTAGGTAACAGATAGATATTCAAAAAAACCTGCTAAAATACTGCTTAATAATATTTAAACTGTTCTTGTTACTGGTAGAAACATCTCAAAAGACTTTTTTTTTTTTATATATTGGGGGTAGTGAGTAATTATACTTACTGTGTTATTCCAGCTGTGCAGCAGTCTTCTCACCAACCCTTCCACAGAAGGTAATTACAGCTTAATTAAACTAAACTTGAAAACACTTGTTAAATTTGTACTGTGGGAGGAAACAGTCTTCAGAAATACTCTCTTCTGCCTTTCATCCCATTCAATTAATCTTTCTTCACTTTCTGTGCCCATCTGTTGTCACTACTGACTAAAATTCCAGGTTGCAGGAAGCGTGGTTAGATAAAAATCATGGTGGAATACACTTTAAGGTTTCATTGCATTCTAATTTTTTTCTTTTTTTTTTAAAAGCAGTCCATGTATGGGTTATACTATATTAAAAGTTTTTTCTTTAAAGTGTTACTTCATCCGTTCTTAGTTCCTGATATTCAAATGCTGTTCTGTTTTGGCCGCTTTTTAACTCTGTAAGAGCGTTTGAAGAGCAAGGCTTGCTTAGGATTTGGAGCAGCGTGACTCGTGTGAGAAATACTGACCTGATCAAACTTCTGTAAGGACCTGCTGTTTCCTTTAAACCCCCGGAGGGCTGGATTTTGGGCTTGGGGAGCTAAAACTGAGGATGGGGGTTTCATTAGGAAAGCACTGGCGGTTTACTTGGGCAGCCCTCTGCTAGGGTTGTTTCTAGGTTTATCCTTGAGGAGCGAAGCTCTTGCATCTCATTTTCTTGTGCTTTGCAAAAATAATCTGGAAAAAACCCAAAAGATCTGGGCGGCTCCGGGGAGGGGGATGCTCCCCGGAGC